TAACAGATGGATGTCAATCTGTTTCCTTGTCTGTAAAATTGTGATTTTGGCTAGATAGCCTATGAAGAACTTTCGCTCTGACATCTTATGATTATAATCTGATATCACTGAAAAATGTGCCATTAGGTCAGATCTGAAAATCATTTTGGGGCTTTTGTCATAATATTTAGGAACAGTTCTTCCTCATCACAATTTCCCATCTCCCGATACTTTTAAAAAATAGGAGAGGAAAAACAAAATCCTGGAACAAATGTATATCCAGAACAATAATTTGGTAATAATAATATTTAATGTTTATTGAGCACTTCCTATGTGCCAGACAGTTTGCAAAGCACTTTTTTATGGAACATTTCATTTAATCAAATACCAACCATATGAGTTAGGTATGGTTGTTCCTAATTCATGAGGAAACAGAGGTTCAGAGAGATAAGTTTAGGTGCTCAAGGTCACACCACTAGCAAGTGCAAAGCCATCATCCAAATTTGGGTCCTCCTGACTATGCTGTATAGATTTTTTTTTTCTAAGAGCTCAGAAAAAATGTTAGAGTAAGAAAAGATCTGAGCACGTGAACCAGCCTTCATGATGAACTAGAGCCAGAAGGATAGCAATGGGAACAGACAAGCTAATTTTCCAAGACTTATTTCTCCATGTATTGGCTTTGATGGGATGGTTTTGCATTGTCACGTCATCTGACTGATCAGAATTAGAGGACAAAAGTCTCACCTCACTCAAAAATTGGTCTTTCATGTCTTCTGGGTCCATCAGAACCGGGATGAGAAAATCTGCTTTGAGGATTCCAAAGAGTTGCCCTGAAAAAGAAAGTATTACCTGGATCAAGGCAAATTATCCCATTGCCATTTGAAAACTTCATGTTCTTAGTGGTCAGGGAGTGCCCACTGGACACAATAGAGGCTACATGGTGATTTAGGACTTTAAAAGGAGAAAGAAACCAGCTAGTGGCCGAAAGTAAAGTGTCTCACGAGTGGAGTAACCGCTGCTGTCCTCCTGTAACCTGGCCACCCTCAGGCAGTTATTTTCTTTGCTCTCTCTTCTGTATTTTCCTCCTTTAAAGTTTTCTTTTTTGGTGGGGTGGGGGGATGTGTCACGCAGCTTGTGGGATCTTAGTTCCTCGACCAGGGATCGAACCCTGGACTGCCAGGGAACTCCTGTTTCTTCCTTTTAATAAAATTATCAAGTAGATTGTTCCACACCATGCTGGAAATATTCACCCCTCCCTGGACCCACATTTGTAAAGGCCAACTCTACCCCAGAAAACTCTTACATTCTCTGAGCCTATAAACAAGCTCAGCCTTTGGCCCTGAGCACTGCAATCATAGGAACTACAGCATCATATAGGACCACCTTATAAAGTTAATAAAGTACCTCACTATCTCTTTGGGTATTTGAACAACCCTGTGATGAAGGCAGGGTCGTTTTTACTACATTCCTTCTGCAGATGAGAAAGGAGATTTGTTCCCTGAGCTTTCACAGTTGTCAGGGAGCTAACTCTAGGATCCTCACCCTTGTTTCCATCCTAGCATTTCATAGAAAGGTCTTGAGTGCCCCATGCTGAGGAGTGGCTGTCCAGATTTAATTGATTGGTTGTTAAGAGTGAGAAACTTGGTGGCCAGAAGCAGTTAATTACCTGGTTTCGGTGCTGGAGTTTTTTCCTTAGATTCTGGGTGATTAGCTGAGCTCCAGTGTTGGGCCTGAGTGGCAGGAGCTGTGTCTGTCATATTGGTGCCACACCTTTCACTTGTCACAGCTGCAAGAGGGGAAAATAAGGGAGTTACTGCAAATACAGCCAGGAGCAAGGTGGTCTGAGACAGGTAACTGCCCCTGAGCTAAAAGACAGGCCTTGGCGGCCACCATCCTACAGAAACCATCCCGTGTGGGAAGCTCAGTCCTTCCCAGGCCCTTCACTTACCCCACAGGCTCATGGGGGGTAAGTGAACATCATCCCTCATAAAGTATCTCTCTTACCAGGATTTGTGGGACTTGGGCCATATTATATCTCCTCAGTACCAAATGTTTATTTTTCGTAGCTCCTACCCCAAGAAGCCCAATCCCCCTATGTAGTCTGCCAGCTACACAGAGCCCCACCATGGTACCCAGGGACCCCCAGCATCTCCATCAAGGGGTAGCACCTCAGAGTACATATTCCAAAGCCAAGCTCAGCAACCCCCGCACCCCCGTTATGGTTGCCCATCCCCTAAGGCTCTCCAGCCAGAGACCCCACATAACCCCAGCTGCTCCCTCGCTCCTTCTCACTTGCTCTCACATTCAGTCACCAAAGTCCTGTCAGTGCCTTGCAGATGTCTTTTTTTCCCAAATATGGAATATTTGAACCGTATTGTTTTGTGATATATTATTGTAAAGTATTTAAGTAAAAGTGTCCCCTCCCCTGACCCAGGGACAACCACTATTAACAGTTTGCTATAGAATATCCTTCACACACTTGAATTTTTTTATTTGAATGCATAAAGATCTACCTTATTCTCTTTCAAGGCTGCATAGTATTTCATTGGATGTACATAACTTATTTAATCAATCTGCTTTCAATGGACATTAGATTTCTCCTCCAGTTTTTCACTGTAATAAACAATGCTGCAACAAACAACCCGTGTGTGGAGGGTACGTGTCAATGCGTGTGTGCACCTTGTACTGTTATTTCCTTAATGAACTTCCAGGGGTAGAATTTCTGTATGAAAGAGTATGCACATTTCAGAACTGACACACGTTGCAAGAATGGGAATGCCAGTTTAATGTGCTGTCCAGCGTCTGAGAGCGCTGATTTTCTCACATTCTTACCAGCATTATCACTCCAAATCGTTGGCGAACTGGTAAGTTACAAAAATAAAAATGTTAATACATTTTAATTTGCATTTCTGTGATTCAGTGAGCAAAGCTGAGCATTTTGTAAAATATGTTTGTATTTATATTTCTTCAGTTAATATCACTTGCAAGCAGTGTGAAATCAGCTCCAAGTCCCTGCTCACCCCACTGCTCCAGTTCTGACCTCGACTTCACTCTCCCAGACTGTGCAAGTCTTTCCCCCCACACACACTTCCTGTGTCTCCACATGCCCTTTTCTTTCCCCACCCAAAGAATTCTACATTTCTTTAGTGATGTGAATAAGTTTTGTGAAGTCCAGAAGCACAGAAGGCGGGGAAACACACATCTTCTTGTTGCCTGAATGTAACCATTAACATTGTCACACATTTTCTTCTAATCTTTTTTTCTAAGCACAGGTTGATGTTTCCTTTCAATGTTGTGACTGTGTTACATGTGTAACGTTGAATCATCATCTTTTTTTTCCCTTTAGCATCCTGACACAGGCATTGCCCCGTGTCACTATTACTGTCATCACAACCACCTTGCTTCTGTTGACTACAGATCTGAGCATTTTGCTGCCTTGCTGAGAAACCTCTGATGGCTCCACTGACTGCAGGATCCAGGCCTTCAGAATTTGGCCCAGTCCACCTCTTTCCCCTCATCCCTTGCTGCGTGCGTGACTGCCTGCTAAGTTGCTTCAGTCGTGTCCAACTCTTTGCAACCCTGTGGACTGTAGCCCACCAGGCTCCTCTGTCCAAGGGATTCTCCGGGCAAGAATACTGGAGTGGGTTGCCATGCACTCCTCCAGGGAATCTTCCCCACGGGTCTTTATGTCTCCCACTCTGGCAGGTAGGTTCATTACCACTAGCACCCCCTAGGAAGCCCTCATCCATTGCTACTTCCCTTCCAAATATGTGACAGACATTCCAGTCACCTCAAACTATTTGTTTTCCCTGCACATGTTCACATTGACCTATCTTTGCTCATGCTGTTCCCTCTGCCAAGAAGGACCTTCTAGCCTTTGCTGCCTGATGAAATCATTCATTACCTTCTGTCCATTGACCACCACCTTTCCAGGCAGAATGAATGAGTCATTTTCCTGTCAAGGCTCTTGGTTCACCCTTCTGGGGGCAGTACTTATCAAAAACTGTCCTAGTTGTCTCTATTAGCCCTTATTAGACTAAACTCTTTTAAAAACAGGAAACAGGTTCTGCTCATCTTAGTATCCATTGCCTTGTTCAAAATAGGTACTCAGGAAATGACTGTTGAATTAAATCATCTACCAGTATGCAAAACACTATCCTAGGCCTGGGAAAGATACGAAGAGGCATAAAACATAAAACAGCCCCTGCCCTGTGAGATTTTACAGTCTTAATAATTCATAACAGTGATCATTCATAATCATGTATAATTAATAAAATGAGAATGAGGCCAACCCTGACGGTTGAGTCAGGTAAGGACAGGGATGAGAGACTGAATGAATCACTAAGTATTTCACTACTGAATTGAGATTAGAAATAACTACCATGAATTGAATGTCTGCCAGATGCCAGGCACTGAAAGATACCTCCTGACATCCAGTATTTTTCTTCACTTTAAAGATGAGAAAAGTGAAGTTGGGAGAGATTGGGAAATATGCCTAAGACCACACAGTAAGTAGAGGACCCAACATTCTAACCCTTGACTGTTAGACTTCTCTAGCCAAGATAAAAATTTTCTCCCCTAGATTGCCCCACCCTAAATTATTATCCAGGGAGGATGAGGAGGTAAACTGGCTCTAGCCCGTAAAGTGACTCCCCATGGAGTGATCCAGAAGGTACCCAGGGGGAGGAGACGTGGCCCAAAACACACCCTTCCCCACCCCCTTACCTCCCTGACTGGTGGCCGGGGCATGGAAACTAGGGCTTCGTCTCCCCAAAGGAGGAGCCGGGCTCCAGGCCAGGGTCCCCAACCCCCCGGCGGGCGGGCACCTGTGTCGGGCCATGGCCAGCTGCCAGCTGTCTCCGGGCCTGCGGCCTGGCTCTGGGCTGGCCCTTTCCGGGGCATGTTTGTTCTTTGGAGCACAGCTGAGCTTCCTGAGCTGGAAGGCTCCACGGTGCTTTCTTCGGTCCCTGGAGTTTCGGCACTGCGGGACCCACTGGATGTGGCCACCCCAGAGGTCATCGTCACCCCTGGGTGAGCCGAGGTCCCATGGGTGGACCTGAGCGAGGGGCCCGCTGCGTCCTCCCGCGGCCTCCCGGGCCCACCCTGGGTACCGGAGTCCTCCGGGGGCGCAGGGCCTGGAGCAGGGCTGGAGGCGGAGGCCTGGGGGCTCTCGGTCACTCCCTGGGGGACAGAGGGGCTTCCTGAAGGGATTGGCTCCGCGGGGTTCGGGGTGGGGGTTGGTGAGGCGGCCGAGGGCGCAGAGCCTGGAGCAGGGCTGGAGGCGGAGGCCAGGGGGGTCTCGGTGACTCCCTGGGGGACAGAGGGGCTCCTCCAGTGGACCAGCTCCGTGGGGCTCGGGGCAGGGGTCGGCGAGGAGGCCAGGGGCGCGGGACCAAAGGACATGTTCTGGGTGGTGACCGGCGAGGTCCAGGGCCCTCCGTCCGCGGGGACTGGGACGCAGGCCGGAGGGCTCGGAGATGCTGTCCTGGGCTGGGGCGCGGCAGGGCCTGCGGAGGCGGAGGTGCCGGAGCCAAGGGTGCTGGAGCTGAGCTCGGGGGGCTCCGGGCTGACTTGCTGCGGGAAAGGCCCCAACGAAGCCCGACGTTTCATGGCGTCCGCGGGACCGAAGCTGGTGCCTACGGAGAGAGAAGGCTTCCCTGGGGCTCCAGGGCGCTGCACCTGCAGCCGCCCGGCGGCTTCTCCTCGCCTGGCCCTGCACACGCGTCGCAGACACGGTGGAGCCGGGCGGCGGGCCGGGGAGCTCCTGAACCCGCCTGGTAGAGCCTGGGTGACCAGCGAGCCCCCCAGCATCTCAGCCCAATCCCTTGTTCCTTAGCAGCTCACAGGGACCCCCAACCCTGCAGCATCCAGGCCGCCCCGCTAGCCCTAAGCATCCCCTTCAGACCCCCTCCATTCCCTTTGCAGGCTAACTTCAAAACCACCCCCTCCAGGAGATCCCCGGATAATTACCGGAGCTGGGACAATCCCCTTCCCTGTGTTTCCCACCAGGCCTGTGACTGCACAGGCAGCACTGCCCGTCAGGAGCCCTCCTCCGGCTGGCCGTCAGCCTTCAGAACAGGCCCTGCCTTTGCCTTGTGTCCTTGGAATTAATAAAGCTCTGCGTCCATGAGCTGGTCTCCTCTGTGTCCTCAAAAAGAGTGACAATACCTTTTTCTGATGTCCAACTTTGTAAAGATGCCAGAACTGTGATTTCTGCCCTCAATTATCCTAGTTTGCTTCAGAACTCACAGGAAGCAAAATGAGGTAATAGCTGTGAAAATGCTTCAGGAATTTAAAAATGCTAAAGGCAGGCTATCCCTGTGATTCCCAGCCGTGTCCCCCACACACGGCCCCAACAGCTCAGCTCTCATCTTCTCTCCTCCCAAAGAAGGGATTTGACGGGCACCTCTATTGCGCTTCCCTGTCTGGATGCTGGACCTCAGGCCTATCTGGTGATTTTTCCTCAGGAGCACTGCACAGTGGGGCAGTGAGGGGGTCTTCCCCTTTTCCTGTCTCTTGACCTCACCAGAGACTACACAGCCTCTCGTGGGTCCCCTGGCCCGGGAGCTGCAAGTCCAGTGGTCTAGTTGGAGGAAGGAGGTTGATGGTAACCGAGTCCTCCTCCTTTGACCCCAGTTGGCCCAGCAGAGTGAGGGGGCCAGGGAACTGCCTGTCCGTGAGTGGCCCATGTGGAGCAGAAAACGGGGGAGTGTACTTGGCCTGGGCGTCATCCCCACGGTCACTTCTGAGGAGGGCGTGTGGAAGAGCTGAGGGAGGGCTGCAAGATCCCGGTGTCCGACGGTGGGATCTGTAAGAAGACACCAGCGGGGAGTGTGGGAGCAAGGCTGACGTGGGGGAGCACACAGCAACCCCAGGTCTGCCACTCCGGACATGCTGCTCTGGTGAGAAGTCCCACCAGACACTGACGATCAACCGCCTGTCACAGAAGCCAGCTCGGGAGGGCGCAGTCATGGGAGAGGTCCCTTCATGATCTGTATTCCTCACAGCAGCTCTTCAAGGGAGGAACCATTGTTCCTGTTTTATAGATAAGGACCACTATTCTCATCAAATCCAAAACACAAAAAGAAACAGCCAAGAATAGGCAAAACCAGAGACAGCAGATTAGTGGGTGTCAGGACTGAAGGTGGGAGACAATGGAGGGGGATGCTCTGCTAAAGGGTAAGGAGTTTCTTATTGGGGGTGATACAGTTGTCCTAAAATTAGATAGTACTGATGATTGAGCCACGTGGGTTGTACTAAATCTCACTATACTGGCCACTTCCAAAGTGAATTTTAAGGAATGTGAATTATATCTTAATAAAACCAAAGAAAACAAGAAGGAAGGGACAAAAGAGAAGAAAAGAGAGATGGAAAGAACAAATCGGGATGAAGCCTGTTGCTGAGGAGACACCACACACAAGATCCAGAATAACCAGGTAGGCCTCTGGTTCCCATGTTTGTGGTGACCACAGTTACAGTAGCTAATATCTATTGGGCATTTACTCTGAGTCAAGGTCTCATCTAGGTCCTTTATGTTCATTTTCATTCATCCTTCAAAGCCATATGATGAGGTGCATCATCAATGCCATTTTGGTTTTTTGCAGATGAAAAAGAGGCTCAGAGATGCTATTCACCTTATTTCTAGCAAGTAATAAAATCTGATTCCAAAGTGCACACTTTTAACCTCTTTGTTGCCAAATAAGTAATTGCCGTTGCTAACTGCTAATGCCCAGAGACTGGATGGGGTCTGTTCTATTCTTTAAAGATCCCCCAGAATTAAATTAAAGCCTGCTCCAGAACTCTGCTAACTTATAGAATCTAGAAGTACTTCCTTAGATCTACCCTCAACATCTCAAGCTGCCAAGAAAACCCGTTTCTCATCCCAGTCTAGCCTTGGGGGGCCAAGGGCCAGTGGGGGTGACTCTCACTCACCGTCGAAGCAGATGAAGGGTTTCAGGGCAAAGCAGGTCACGGCAGAAATTCTGGAGGGGAAGCTCCAGTACCTACTGAGACCCGCACACAGTCCTGCCCCAAACTTAGGTGGCTGCAGCCAGCTAGGGATGCTGGAACCCCTGTCACTGGACCACCTCGGAGACCCAGAGGCTGCACTGAAGTAGAGGCCAATCCAGGCCTCGGTGTTACTCGTGATGGATTTCAAGTCTTCGTCCATCTCCTCAGTCACCGTCTGCAGGTCAGCCAGGTCTGTGTGGTATCTGCGGCAGTACCCCAATGCCTCCAGCCACATCTTTTCTTGGTCAAATCGCTTGAAGGTCAGATTGCCAAGCTGAACCTCAACTGTAAGTAAAAAACATGGAGAGCACAGGCCTGAGGTCCGGGATCTCTGCCAGCTCAGCCCTCATCACCCCTAGACACAGTCCCGGTCCGACCCCTGCCCTTACCCCATCCTCAGGTATTAGGTTTGATGAAATCCACAATTTTATAGGCAGACTAAATACCAGATTGGGAGAATGAAGGAGCTGTCACAGCAGCAGCTGGGGAAAAGGACATGCATTAGGGAGAGCAGGGGTTAAGAACTCTCCTGTGGGTCATGTGGCCTTACAAGTCAAGTCTAAGCTTCAGTTTTTCTATCTGTACAACAGGGATGACAAACCTAGGCAGTGTATTAAAAAGCAGAGACATCACTTTGACAACAAAGGTCCATCTAGTCAAAGCTATGGTTTTTCCAGTAGTCATGTATGGATGTGAGTGTTGGACCATAAAGAAGGCTGAGTGCCAAAGAATTGATGTTTTCAAACTGTGGTGCTGGAGAAGACTCAAGAGTCCCTTGGACTGCAAGGAAATCAACCCTGAATATTCAATGGAGGACTGATGCTGAAGCTGAAGCTTCAGTGCTTTGACCACCTGATGTGAAGAGCCAACTTACTGGAGAAGACCTTGATGCTGATAAAGATTGAAGGCAGGAGGAGAAGGGGTTGACCGAGGATGGGATGGTGGGATGGCTTCATCAACTGAATGGACATGAGTGTGAGCAAACTCCAGGAGATGGTAAAGGACAGGGAAGCCTGGCATGCTGCAGTCCATGGGGTTGCAAAGAGTGGAACATGAATGAGCGACTGAACAACAACACAGGGATAGTACCTAAATGTATTTAATGTAAATGATTAAATGAAGTCATGAATATAAATGATTTAACGCAGTACGTGCAAATAAGAAACACTCAAGCGGTAGGGTTAAACTTTGCAGGGAGGTAGTGAGCGGGCTAGTATAATCCTGGTTTAGAATCAGCCTCTTCTGTGGTTTCTAGGGAGTGTGCTTGCCACACCAGCTCTTAGGAGGGTCCAAGGTTGAGGCAGAATAGAGGGAGCGTGACAGGCTCGTGACATCAGGAGAGCCAGGGACAGGAGATAAGCCTGGCCAGGGGCACACCTGCTGGCCAGGAGGCAGACCGGGCCCACAGTCACGGTCCTGACTTCCAGTGGAGCTCAGACAGACCAAGACACTCGCCCACCCTGCCCCTGGCCAGGCCTGTCTTATGGGCAGCGCACAAACACCTGTGACCCAAAGCAAGGAAAGTTTGGAAAGGTTGTGCTTTGGCATGGACTGGTTTCAGAAACCTGTTAAAGGAAACAGTTCTGTTTGCAGAATTGGGACTCACATCCTCAGATTCAAATAGGGCCTCCCAAGCTCTGACTCCTGCCTGCTCACCAAGTCCCATCTAGATTTGCCTAATACTTCCCTGATTTTCCCTATTCAAACTGGTCTTTTTAAGTTACCCTTTGTTAACACCTTGTTCTCTTCTCACCAGCCTTGAGCTTTGCCTGTAGCACAAGTCATCTTTTAAAATCCTCACTATAATCCCCAGAAGCAGACATCACTTCGCAGAGGAGAAAGGGGAGACTCGGGGAGGCAATGACTTGCCCAAACTCATGCCTTACTAAGTGGCAAGACGAGGTTCAAATCAGGTCTGCCTGCCTTGGAAGCCTGTGCAGTCTTCACTCCACAATGCCGTGTTCCACAGCATGCAGAAAACCAGCTTACAGAGCTGGTTGAGGAGTGCGTTCCCTTTGAAATTTGTCTCTACCAAGAAACTCTTTGTAAAACACCAGGGCAGTAATAGTCCCCTCGTGATATGGATTTCCCTGGTGGCTCAGTAAAGAATCTACCTGAAAGACAGGAGACCCAAGTTTGTTCCCTGGGTCAAGAAGATAGAAGGGCATGGCAACCCACTCCAGTATTCTTGCCTGAAGAATCCCATGGACAGAGGAACCTGGTGGGCAACAGTCCACGGGGTCGCAAAGAGTCAGACCCAACTGAGCAACTTTCACTCACTTTCACGAGGTGGAGGGCCTCGACTGTGGAAAGGTGCTGCCCACACCTCCACCCACCCCCAAGTCACTGGGGTGGGGACATCAGACTGGGATGCAGGCTAGGCTGAGCTCTGCCACAGGCTGGTTGGAGAGCCACACCCCCCCCCACTCGCCAACCCCCACCATGTGAAAAACAAAGGCAGTGAGCCTCTGCTTGGGGTCAGCCTGGGGGGGGGGGGGCATCACCTGCTCCAGGGGGACCAGTGCCAGGGAAGGCGGAGCCCCGGGCGTGTACCTGGCTTTGGAGTGGCGGTCAGGCTGAGAACTGGCTCCAGGAGGGTGTGGGCCCCCACAGTGGGATCTGTGAAACAAGCCACACGTTATGTGGTGGGGGTGGGGCTGCCCAGGGTCCTCTGCGGGCACCAGGAATCGCCAAGTTGAAGCCCGGAGAAACCTAGCTCCAGAGTAAGTGGGCCCCTTTGTTCCTATCCACGTGTGTTCCATAAATATATATACTGAGCACCTGTTGTGTGGCAGATGCTATTGCAGGCTCTGGAAAAAATAGCAGCAGGAATAAGGCAAAGCGAGATCTTTGCTCTTGAAGAGAATTTGAGAAGGAGTCAGCCTTGCAAAGAGGTAGGAAGGAATATATTGGGCAGAGCTAAGAAGGGATGGGACCACATGTGTAAGACTGTGATTAGAAGTGCTAAGGGAACGTACTGAATATGTCTAAGCAAATTGATCTGATTTACTTTTTTTTTTAATTTACATTTTTAAGATTTTACTGTGTACAGAACAGACTGGAGGGGGCCAGGCAGATGCCAATGAGAGCTGGAGAGAAGCGGATGCAGTTAAGAAGCATCTAGGGAGAATCCAAAGACTCCAGGGGGATCGGGGAAAGCTCCCCCAACACGACTGTTCCTTCAAAGGGACTCCCATGCCCACTCCAGCACACTCTCCACTCTTCTGGCCTGGGAATTGCAAGATCAATCCTAGACTACCCTGGGCTATGTTTCAAGGCCCCATGATGGGCATGATGTAGCACAGAATTGGGGACCCATCAGGTTGGCCCTCCGTGACCCTATTTGAGGAGCTGGGATGGGCCTTGGCTGACTGAGAGAAAAGCAGAAATTGGCCTTTTTTTTTTTTAAGGAAAAAAAAAAACATATAACTATGTCTATAACTATTCCCTCTGTGATCTCAGAACCGTTAAGACAAGGGCTGCCTGGGCAGAGAGGGGCCAGCCAGAGGCAAGGATGGCTGCGGGGGTGGGGGGGGTGGGGGCCATTTCCCAACAGCCAGTACCACGTGCATTGAGTAAATGGGTTGTCTGCAGAGATGCACCCACCTGCCTCCCCAAAGCAGGGGTTCTCCCAGGGAGTGACTGTTCCACACACCCCCAGCCCCTAGAGACAAAACCACACTGTGCTTTATCAGGAGATAGACCCTGGACTCTGCTCTGGTTTCTGCATAGATAGATTCCCAACCTGACTTTCCCTGTTCCCTCCCTTTCTTTTTCCTCTTTCCCCAGATCCTTAATTGGCAGAAGAAGGGGACATAACGGAACATTCCAGATTTTACTTTTTGTCTGCCCTAATTTACACCCGTTTTCTCTGATGGAGTCTTTGGAATGAGGGACAGAAGAGAAACTAAGGCAGCAGAGAAGAATGTAGCAAACGAGGGTTAAGATAACAGTCAGTTAGTTTTGCTCTGAAAGAACGTGAGCCAGACCCATGCTCGCTCACTGGCTCTGTCTCATTTGCTCCTGAGAAGCGACCCTGGGAGGAAGACCAGACCCAGGCTGTGACTCTGAACACACCATAGTAGCAGATGAAGGGCCTCCGGGCAGTGCACCAGGCGGCCCCCAGGCTGGGGAGAAAGGTGATTGAATACAGGGTGGCACAGAGGCCCTCCCTGAAGGTGGGCAGCGAGCCCCACACCGACGCGCTGAAGGAAGAGCCGCTGGACCATCTCAGGCCACCAAGGCGCACGTCAAAGAAGAGGCCGACCCACGCCTCGTGGCTGCTGGTGAGAGAGTAGAGGGCCTTGATGCTACTCCAGCCGGTCATGCTGTGCAGGTCGGCCAGGTCCGTGTGGTGCCGCCGGCAGTACCCCAGGGCCTCGGACCAGCTCAGCTCCTCTGCCACCCGCCAGAAGGTCTTGCCTTCGCTGGTCAGCTGCAGGGCTGGGGTGGGAGAGTTGTCACCTCAGCGCTGCCCTTACCCTACCCGCGAATCCCAGGTGTTCAGCCACACCACGGGCAGTCTCCCGGCCTCTGCTCTCCCTTTTCACCACCCCACCCTCCACCTCTCGCCCTCCACTCCGCCTCCAGGGCCTTCACACAAGCCTCTCTCTTGGCCTGAAAGACCAGCCACCCCCTCATTCCCCCCAACCTGTTCCCTCAATGCCCCCCTCCACCTTCTTGCATTTCTTGTCTCCCCCTTCCCGCTGCCCTATCCTGGTAAGCTCCCTCCCAAAAACAGCCCTGCACCTCTGTTCGCGCTTAATAACAGGAGAGAGTGTTCCCTGAGCACTCACCATGTGCCATTAGCTCACTGAATCCTTTCCAAGAACTCCCTAGGTTAAACATCACTACGACTGTTTTCCAAATTGAAAAACCAAGTCACTGACAGTTAAGTGACTTAGTCAAGGCCACCCAACGGGAAAAGAGCCGGGGCCCAAGGACGGTAGGTTAGGCTCCGAGGGCAAGACCCTTTGTCAGAGCATGGTTTTGCCCTGATATAGGAGTCACGAGCTTATCACTGGGCTTCACATTAGAATCACCTGGGGAGCTTTTCAAATACACCGATGCCCAGGCCACCGACAGCAAAGATCTGAATGTCTTGCCAGGACCAGCATCAGAATTTGTTTAAAGCCCATGGGGGAAAGGACCTTTTGGCTTGTCTGTCTCCACCAGATAAGGCAACTTGGAAGAAAAGAACCAGCCTTATTCATCATTATATTCCCAGGGTCACCTAGCACATCAGAGGGACTGGATGTATTGAAAATGAATGAATGAGTGAAGAGACAAATGAGTACATCGGACATCTCACAGGAACCAAGAACCCCATGTTCCCTTCCTTCCTTCCTGACTTCATCCCCTTGAGGAGGTCCCCACAAAGGAGGGCTGGTTAAGAACTACTCTGCCCAGGGCCTTGCGGTGGGAGACAGGGTATCCTAGTCCTCAAGGAAACCAGCTGCAAGCCAGAGCCCTAAGGAGAGGAAAGACTGAAAGACCGGGCATACAGAAGGGCAAGGATGTGCATTTGGGGAGGACACGGGAAAGGCCTGATGAGGCACATGCCAAAAACAGTGATGCTCCTCACACCCACCAGAGGCCAAGAAGATGCTGCCTGTCGCCGAGAGAAGTTGGAGGACCCCTGGATGGAGAAAAGGGAATAGAAAACAATTGTTCTTTTGATGTGTGTGAGTCATTTTGATACTTTTTATCCGATTCTGTTTAATTTTTTAAATTAAATCACTGGCTGTGGCCTACTAAATTGACTTTAGGATCTAAGGGGTCCCAACCCACAGTTTGAAAAACCCTGTTGCCCCAGCTGATCTCCTGGCTTGAAACACATAAGCTGACTACCCTGAGACTCAACTCCACCCCTGAGATGGGTGTACACATCCGAATGTCTGTTTCTCACATGCACACTGGTTTACCCATGATCTGGCCTTTCAGGGTCCTCCCAGCCCATCCATCGTGTTTCAAGCCCCACCCAGGAGTCGCTGTTGATGCCCTCCTGTCTCTGACTTGGCAAATCCCGTCAGTTCTACAGCCAGTGTGTATCTGGGATCTTCTTGAACTTTCCACTTCTTTCTGTACCCACTGCCACCCTAGCTCAAGCCACCATCCCCTCCCTGGGACTGACAGCACAGAGCCAGCCCGGAAGCTTTCGTCCCCGTCCCTCACAGCTCGCTCCCCACTCTGTGACCAGAAGGGCCTTTCTGATTGTTTACCTGCTCATTCCCACAGGTTATGGGGGAAGGAGGGGGCGCTCCTTACCACAGCCCGCAGGCCTGTGCGTTCTGGCCCGCTGTCATAGGAAGATTCCTCAGGCTCCCCAGTTTGCTCCCGCACACAGCTAGCTCATCCGCAAGGCTGGCCCAGCGCCTCAGGGCCTTCCTCTGGCTTTACCCTTCAAGGTTCCTTCATTTAGCCCTTAAGCTCAGCCCAGATCCCCCTTCCTCAGAGAAATCTTCCCACCCCTAGACTAAAAAATCCCCCACAAACTTCTCTCTGTGACAGTTGCTCGTCACCCTGATCATCTCCTTCGTTGCTTTAGTCACATTTTTGTGACCTGTTTCCTGACTTTGGGCCCAATGTCTCTAACCCTGACGAGGGTGAGGGCTCCATGAAGTCAGGGGGCATTCCTGACTGGCACCTACTAGCACTGTTTATGTCAGTTAGATGCGTAAATGAAGAAATGAATGAGTAAAATTCTATACAGAACAGCAAACTCCAGGCTCTGACCTCTGGAGGGTGGGGGTGGGCAAGGGGCGGCTGTGGGGGGTGGGAGGGGTGAGAGGAGACGCAGGCAGGGGAGGGCGAGCTGAGGCTGCTCTCACCATCAAGCTGACTTGCAAAACCAGTCACTTCTTCACACTCGTCTCACCTGCAACCTCTGAGGGAGAGCCACATTCCCTGCAGGTGCCCGCCCTGGACGTGCCTGGTGCCCGGTGCCCTGCTGCCCGGGCGGTGGCCTTACCTGCTGTGCAGAGGGACAGTCGCATCCCTGTGACTGGCATGACTACGACGCAGGACAGGATGGCAGGTAGAAATGCTCCCCTGCTCTGGAAGAGGCTGCGCCTGGTCTGAGGGTCATTTCTTTCTTGATCCCCACTCTCCTCCTCTTTCCTACTCACATGGACAGATTTTACTGAACAAACACTTATCCAGTGCCTCCTGCAGGCCAGCCACTGTGTGAGGTGCTCGGGACGCAGAAGAGCAGAAAAGATGGCTACTCAAGTGACCGTGGAGGTGAGTTACCCGGATGAGTAACTAAGGCACCGGCTGGGGAGGGGCGAGCCAGCCAGGATGGCTGCTGCGGGAGGCGAGGAGGAGGATGGTCTGAGAGGTGAGGGCCCTGGGGTCCCCCGGGGCCGAGGGACAAGGGGACCAGTGGAAGGAGAGAAAAGAGAGGAGGGACAGTGAGCTGGCGTGTGTGGGCCAGGCTCGCTGTGCTCTCTTCCCTGCCCGCCCTCACAACAACCACAGTGCCAGGGAGAGCCTGTCACGATCCTGTTTTACAGGTGAGAAAGTTGTAGCTCCAAGAAGGAAATTACTTGCTCGAAACTCCAGGGTAGGAAGTAGGGCAGTGATTCAAGCTCGGGTCACTGCAAAGTGTGAGGTGGGAAAGTGTGGACTCCCCCCTCTAGTCCTACTTCAGTGAGGCCAGAAGTGTCCCCCACCCAGGCTAGGCTCTGGCCCCCCAAGTAAGCACAGAACAGGTGCCAAGACATTTTCTCTGGGGGAACCAAGAACAGCTCTCTCTCCCTCTCTCTCTTTTCCTTCCTCCCTCCCTCCCAACATCCTGTTTATGCCCACAATTCTCTCCATTCCCCTAAGAGCTAAGCTTTTGGGAACTAAAGCCTGGAAGACTCTTTTTTTTTTCTGCCCTCCACCCCTTCACACCCTTCCTGGAGGGAAGGGCAAACAGCCCCTCTGATTGGAAGGGCAAAGGGAAAGAGGAAAAAATTGTTCATGCTTCAACAATAATGTCCTGCACAGTATTCCCTTGTGCAGCGATGGCCTTGGATGACTTCTTCCCAGTGGCAGAACCCGAGTGTGCCAGGGCCACTCTCTGGGGATGCAAGAGAACGCGACACTGCTGGTGCAGGAAACACCACCCCCGCCAGGACCCTCTCACCCGGCCATTCGCCCAGGTTTCCTCAGTCTCATGATGTAAGGGACCCGCTAGGCTTCCCGGGGGAGAATCCCTGGGGCAGTGCAGTGAGTGTGGGGTCAGGCACAGCCTCCACTCCCCCCAGCCCCCAGGGCCCCACCTGGCACTCTGGGTTGAAATTCCACATGCATTTCTCTTCTCTCCCACTACTCCAAGAGCTCCTTGACAGCCGGGACTGCCCACAGTCAAAGCCCTCATCCCATAATGCTGTTGCACTTTAGTCACCCAGTTGTGTCTGACTCTTTTGTGACCCCAGGGACTGTAGCCCACCAGTCTCCTCTGTCCATGGGATCTCCCAGGCAAGAATACTGGAGTGGGTTGCCATTTCCTTCTCCAAGGGATCTTTCTGATCCAGGGAATGAACCCACCTCTCCTGCGTTTGGCAGGAGAATTCTTTACTGCTGAGCCACCAGGGAAGCTCCATCCCATAATAAGTGCAGCAAACACTCTCAATGAAGAGGAGGCACTATGGTTTGTATAAGGGAGCTTTGCTATGGTTCTTCTCTTTGGAGTCCCTCCTACCTCAGACTCTGTCTCACCCATGGAGATCTCGGGAACATGAATGAATAAGGAGCCTTACACTGGATATGGAGGGCTGGTGATAAGGGGAGAGAGGACAGGTCTGGTCCCCAGGACACCAGTTTCACCTGAGTTGCATTAGGAAACCCCGGCTGGATAAAAGGAACAGAGAGAAGGAAGCAGCAGGCTTCCCAAGTGGCCAGGAACAAACACTTGGTTTGCATGAGCCCTAGGAAGCAAAATGGTTCATGGAAATGTCCTGTAGCACCTCTTCCCATCCCCCAGGTTAGGAATGCATTTCCACCTGGACACAGTACACCCTTAGGTACACGCTGGTCTACAGTTTTCACTTTCCCACAGTCACCATTTATCTCTTCTCCCAGACCAATTAGATCTGTAGCCCCTGTAGCATTTTTCCCATATTTTCTTTATTACTGGGACAGGCTCCCTGAGAGCAGACAGGTTTTCTTCTGCAAAGTGAGCTGCTAATGACCATCCGTCCATTTTCTTTGTTAGAGATGCTCACTGTGGCCACAATACCCAGCCAGCACAACTCGAGAGGTTTTCTCTGAGCCTTGACTCCTGTGAGATAATAGAAAATATATATATTGGTCTCTGCCACCTAGTACCTGGCATGTGTGTGCTGTCACTCAGTCTTGTCCAGCTCTTTGCAACCCCGAGGACTGTAGTCCACCAGGCTCCTCTGTCCATGGGATTCTCCAGGCTCTTGCCTGGATTGGATTGCCATGTCCTTCTCCAGGGCATCTTCCTGACTCAGGGATTGACCCACGTCTCTCATGTCTCCTGCATTGGCAGGCAGATTCTTTACCACTAGCGCCACCTGGCACAGAGTTCCTAAAGCCCTGGTTTCCTGAGGGACAAAAATATCTTTTTTTTCTGATGAAGTGACTCTGGGTGGGCTCCTGGATGGTCACTGGTATCTAGAAAGACTAAGCCATGAGAAGCTTGGAATTTTCAACCCCAACTTCCTATCCTTCAGAGTTAATGATCGCTCAGGGCTAAGTAATGAAGCTTTCACAGGGACTTCCCTGGTGGTCCAGTGGCTAAAATTCCACACTTCTGCTGCAGGGGGCATGAGTTCAATCCCTGGTCAGGGAAATAAGATTCTGCAAGCCATGCAATATGGCAAAAAAACAGGAAGAAAAAAAAGAAGCCTCCACAGAAATTCCGAAAGTGTGGGGTTCAGAGAGCTTCTAGGTTGGTGGACATAGAGGTTTGGGGAGAGTCCTTACCATGTCCCAGGCCTCTCTCCCATCTGGCTGTTCCTGAGTTAAATCTCTTAGTGATAAACTGGTAATCTGGTGAGTAAGATGTTTCTCGGAGATCTGTGAGCTGCTCTAGCAAATTAGTTGAACCTGAGCAGAGGGTCATGGGAACTTCCATCTGCAGCCACTTGCTCCAAAGCACAGGTAACAACCTCGACCTAGAGACTGGCATCTGAAGTGGGTGTAGGAGGTGGAGAACCTTGTAGGACTGAGCCCTTAACAAAGAGATCTGACTCTAGCTCCAGGTAGTGTCAGACTGAGTTAAATTACAAGATACAGAGAATGGCTCCTTGTGGGTGAAAATCATCATATGTCTGGTATCAGAAGTTGAGGAAAGACTGAGGGGAGGGGTTTCCTAAACAATTCTTATCTGCAAAATGAGGGTAATAATAGCTATTTTTCAATGACATTATGAGGATTAAATGAAATAATCTTTGTAGTGGATATGATATGCTGCACAAATTCCAGTGTGGAAGAAACATTGCATCATCTGCTTAATTTGTCTCTAAACCAACTTAAAAGTTTTAAGGTGCACTTATTTTTTTATTTTATTGTGTGCACAGAGTAAGATGCACCTAAATGTTTTGTAATGCACCTATTTAAAGTACACAATCTGATCAATTTTGCAGAATGCATGTACCAGTGGAACCACCACAATCAAGTCATAGAACATTTCCAACACCCTAAAATGTTCCCTCCTGCCCTCTTCAGCAGTCCCTCCCCTACTCCAGTTTCAGGCAACCACTGATTTACTTTCTATCACTGTAGATTCATTTGCCAGCATCTTGTTTGAGTGGAATTTCACGCAGTAAAATGTCTGTAAGGTTCACCCATCTTGTCATATGTATCAGCAGTTTACTCCTTTTCATTATTGAGGGGTAGTCCGTTGTAGGAAAACACTACAACTTGTTTATTCAATTCTCCTGCTGGCGGGTTTGGTGTTGTTTTCCAGTTTGAGGTCATTATGAATGAAGCTGCTATGAACATTCATGAACAAGTCTTTGTGTGGACATATGTTCTTATTTCTTTTGGGTAAATGCCTAGGGGTGGGATTCTTGGGTCATGTGGTAAGCGTAGGCTTATAAGAAATTGCTAACTCTCTTCCAGAGTAGCTATATCATTTTCTACTCCCACCAGCAGTGTATAATAATTCTGTGTGGATGACTCTGCCCATGGGGATGTTCCTGCTTGAGGGAAAAGTTCTGTTACAGATAGCTTCCCAAAATGCGCACGCAGTTGGGAGGCAGTGGGGCTCCTGGGACAGGTCACTGGAGCCTTCCTTGGACACTTTCTTTAACCCCTTGGGGAGAGCCACCCGGGTCCTTTGCTCTCGGGCGCTACCTAGTGGTGGGTAGTGCACAGTACAGCCCTGCTTCCTTCATCCTTGAAGACAGGTTTTTCACTTGTACCTCAGGAGGAATGTGAACCCTTGGACTCCACTGTGGCTCAAAATTTTCGCTTATGTTTCCCCTCTAAGTGCTATTTTAATATCTGATTTTTAAAAATTCTACTTTATTCCTTTAAAAGTAAATGTGTTGGCCAGTAAGAATATTAAAAGATATGCAACATCACTAGTTATTGCATGCATGTGTGCTCAGTCGTGTCTGACTCTCTTGCAACCCCATGGACTGTAGCCCGCCAGGCTCTTCTGTCCATGGGATTCTCCAGTCAAGAATACTGGAGTGGGTTGCCATTTCCTGCTCCAGGGGTTCTTCCTGACCCAGGGGGAAATGCAAAACAAAACTACAATGAAATGCCACCTCACACCCATTAGGATGGCTACCATCAAAACAACAGAAAATAACAAGTGTTGGTGAGAATGTGGAGATGCGGAATACTTGTTAGGGGGAATGTCAATGTCAGTGCAGCCACTGTGGAAAACCATATGGAGGTGCCTTAAAAAATTAAAAAAGAATTATCATATGATCCAGAAATTCCACTTCTGGGTATATGCCCCCCAAAATTGAAAACAGGGACTCAAAGAGATATTTGTACCCTCATGTTCATAGCAGCATTATTCACAATAGCTAAAACATGGAAGCTTCCCAAGTGTCCATTGAGGATGAAAGGATAAACAAAACATGGTACAGTGGAATACTACTCAGCTTCAAAAAGAAGGAAATTCTGTCACATACTGCAATATGAATGAAACTTGAGGATGTTATGCTGAGAGAAATAAGCCAGTCACAAAAGGACAAATATCATATGATTCCACTTATATGAGTTACTTAGTCAAATTCACAGAAAGAGAAAGTTGAATGGTG